AGATAAAATTTGTCTGGAGACAAAATAAACATCCAAAATCTTTTAAATAAATCTTCGATAATTATAAAAATATAATTTATCATCTTGGAATTTATCAACTGTACGGTTTCATATGAGAAAAATGTTATTAAAATATTATTCAATATTAAAAAGTTGATTATGCAAATTAAACCTCATCAAATTATTATTATTATTATTTCCTTGTTTTGTTAAAAATTTAAATTAAAAAAATTATTCGTATATTTGAAAGTATCAAAATCACAGTTTGAAGTGCGATGAATTATTTTGCAAAGCACATGACACATCAATTATGTTGCAACATTTTGCACAGTATTTGGGAGATAGAATTTGTATCTATAAAAAATACACAAGGAATATTGTGACAAATATTACGCAAGTAAAATTTCTTACATGGATAAAGGAAAAGTTTCGGACCTGAGTTAAACTCATTATTTTTTCATTTTTAAACGACTAAACAGGATACATGTGCACAAGATATCCATAATTCAGAGGCCTCTATGAACAATGGGAGCCCAACAAAGACGATGACATTCTTATACTATTCTCCTTCTTGGGACTCTATTTTTCTGTCACGGCTAAAGACAGAAAATAAATTGACAAAGTAAACGAAATTAATATATCTTACATGGATAAATCGAAGGTTTCAAAACGGGGTCGAACTCATATTCCCTTGGAAACGTTTATAGAGGATACACGTGCAAATAATATCCATAGTTCAGAGCACTATATCAATAATGGGAGCCCAACAAAGACAATTGCATTTGGTAGATTTTTCTTCTTCTTGAGCTTATATTTCGAATGTTCGCCACCTCCTTGGTGGACATTGATAGGGCCCTTTACTGTTGTAATATCGATGTCTGTATCAGATCACGGGTCATGAGATAAAAGAACCTTTTGCTCATGAGTATACTTTGGAACAAGTAAAAAATGTAAGAGCCAGACATCTTATTTGAGCGTTATTTTGGATACGTTTGATGAAAACTCGATATTACGAGGTCGCAAAATCAATAGCTTTGGGTTCGACAGAATATAGTCTCAGATGTGTCATGGACATTTTTGAGATACACACTATCAATAATTCCTTCGTCCTGGGATTTTAGGCTCCTAAATTATTTGTACAAGCAAAAAGTAAGTGTAGGGTAGGGGTAAAAGTTGCTCTCAAATGACCTATTTACATATTTCTAAAAGAGAGTTCCTTTTCTCACAAGACTTGATATCGTTAAAACCATTGAATCGGGGCCTGTGATTCACCGAACAGAACAACGGTTGAAAAGGTCATGTCACGAGATTCCTTCTCGATCATCAAACATGTCGCAATGGCATCTGTGGAGTGTGTTCTATGAGTCGGACGATGTTTTCATGCATCATCGCTTGATCCAGTAAACGAACATATTCCTAATACTTTCCAGTTTGACCTTGTGTTACACGAACATCAGACTCAAACCACTTGATGTCAGTTATTCTCCTACGTTCGATGATTGCTTCACCATTAAGATCATATATAGAGTTTAATAATACCCTAAACCCCTTTTACATTCTTCAGGTGTGAGAAAACTCTAAACGTTGAATTAAGGTAACAGAGAAGTTCCATAGTCAAGAGTTGCAAGAGGTAAGGTTTATAATCGTAAGGTAAAACCAAAAATTGAAATTCTATAACAGTTTCAAGTTCTTAATTAAATGGGCAGAAAATGCAATGGAATCAGATGATTTGATTACATGCTTCCGTTATTCTTTTTCAACTTTTTCAAGGCGTAAACTCATGACTATAAGTTCTACTGCCGAGTTTTGGTCGATGCATTTATAATAGAAAAACAACAAAACAACATGTCTTCTCATTCATTTGAAAGCAATGAATTCTATATATAACTTTGATTTTTTTAACAGTAATATGATCTTCATAAATCAATTTTCGGTATATCGTAACCTAAGTTGATTGCAAAACATGTCAATAACCTCTTCATACATATTCTCACATGTCATTGAGATATTCACGTCATTAATAGTCTCATAGATTATTTTTCACTGTCCTTTCGATGCATATTTCTAAGATTCAGTAATAACGATACTTATTGCATCTATATGATCATATGAAAGCATACTGCATCTGAGCTAAATACCTCTCACATATGATTAATGAAATTCTTATTGATGAAACTAAAACGAACTAAACCGAACTAAACCCTCATATCGATGAAGTATTGATAGTTGATATAAGGCGAATATCCACACCCGTGGTTACATCCATATTTATGATAAAACAAACATGATTCCTACTATATTAAGAGCATTTTTTAAATAAAAACTTGCCAATATCATCAGTAAGGAGTGTCTAGTATTTTGAAATTATCGATAGTTCAATGTAATCTTTGTAAAAAAAAAACCACTACCGATAAAGGATTCAGAAAAACATCTCACGGAGCTAAAAATACTTTAGATCCACGCTCATCGCATACATCTCAATAATGACTTTTACGAGAATAAGAAAGTAGTCAATAATGCTTAAGAAAGACATAAAAATAAAAATTTCTTTCTTTTGATAAAATTTAGCTCATTTCTCAACATAAATTGATAAAGATATATGTGTAAGTGCCAAATTTTTTTTCATATAATTAATGCTGTTTTTTTAGATCTTAGGATTGAAAAAAATGATCATGTTATCAAAGAGTAAACTTATAATAGCTCATAAAAAATGTGAAGTAGGTAGGTTATTTGATCAATAATATAGATGACAAAGTCTTATGCGACTATCATTCTATAGCAGAATTTTCTATTTGTAATACATACTAAAACAGTGTAGTATTGAAGTAGTGTGAATCATATTCATATTGGATCATATTAGCACTTCAAGAATTAGTAGTAGTACATCAATCATTGTTATACATTACCTTGAAATTTAAATGATAAGAAGAAGTGCTTAAGTGATATCATGTCATAGATTCTAACATCTGACTCTAAAACTTACAAGATAGAGTTTGGAAATCAAATAATCTAGGTTTACCTAAACTGATATAATTATAAAAGATTTTTAATTTATCAATTAGCATATGAAAATAAATCGTCTAATGTGAATAGTATATATTTCTTTTTCTAAACTATTTGTAAACTATCAGCCTAAACTATGATAAAAATGTCACCCATTAGGTGATGAATTTTTCGCCTACACTCTTGCACACTCCCACAAACATCTAGTCAAGTCGAGTGAAAACTAAACTATCAATGTTCATGTGAAGGTATAAATATATGATTTTTTGACTTGGGATTAGTCTTTTAGTAGATGGTACTAGCTTGGTTAGAACAAGTGATACATCTATGAGGTTTTTTTGTTTATTAGAATTTTTTTGGACGTGGCTAGATGGTTGATCTCTCTCTTGAAAGGTCATTTGCCCCGAAGTGGTTTCTTGGAGATAAAATCACATAAATTTAAAAATAAGATAAAAATATTGTGTATCAACACACTGCCAGCTCAAGTCATGCATATGAATCCAATGTTACCAAACATGCACTACGACATCGCGAATGTTAAGCACGCTGAACAAATTACGCGTCCTGCTGCATCTCAAACATGGGGCAATATGTTGCTCCTCAAACATTATGTTTCTTATATAATCTCCATTGCTACCTGGATGAGGGGGTTAAGGGAAATGGCTCGGTCATGAAAGACAATAGTCCTTGTTATGATTAGTGCCACCTTCGTAACATTGCAATTCCGTACGTACTTACAATAAGTTGCGAGTATACTCTTAGCAGACTATAACGAGCACAGTATAATCAACCCAAATAGAAACAAAAGCTACTGGAGAAAGAGTTATATGTATCATAGAGGGCAAAGTAATAGACCGGAGAATTAGAGCGGAGTAGAGTAGGGTGGAAGTGAGAGCCGACCGGCGTGTGTCTGCGCAGAGACAACACGGAAAGGAGGGAAGGAAGGAAAGGAGGGAGGGAGGGAGGGAGGGAGGGAGGAGGAAAACGGGGAAGGGTAAGAGCACGGAGCGATCCCACGTCCCTCGCTCCGTCGGTCTGTACGCCAGGTTTCGATTTTGTGGTTCTCCTTGTGCAGGACTGAGATCGGGAGAATCCGATTGCCGCTAGTCATGTTTCAGGCCGGTTGGGGCGGGGCCGCTTTCTTGCCTTCTTTCCGCTCCCTCTCCCTCTCGATCTGGACAAAGTTTGTGTGGGTGAGATAGACTCACACTCCATAACACGTTTCGCATTCACGTCCCGCGCCTACCTTCGCGTTCCATGACACCCGAAATACCCATAAAATTGTGCGAGATCCACGGCTCACGATCTTTCTCTACACGTGCTCGACCATCCGAAGGTCCAGAGCCCGTCGATATTCTCTTCGAAGTTCGAACCCCCTCGCCTCGCTCACCTGATGGCGCTAGCTCTAGCTCGCTGGCGGGGCGGGGGGTGGCTGGCTGGCTGGCTGGCGCGGCTGGGGTGCCGTTTTCTGTTTTTTCGATAATCTCGTTCTTCCTCGCCCCTTAAATGTCCCACTCTCGTCCCGGTTAATTATCATGCAAGTTTTTCTGGGCGGGCCGCGGCCTGCTGATGATGATAGCGCCTTGCTGCGCGGAGAAGACTTTTTGACTCGGAGGAGAAGGAGGGCGGGTCGGGTGAAGAGGGCCATGTTAACCGCCAATCGGGCTCGAGCCTTGAGATTAATGATGGCCGGTGGACTACGGTAAAGGAGGAGTATAAAACGAGGGGGACGAGTACTGGGAGCTCGGGGGAGACGCAATGCGAAAAGAGAGGAGAAAGAGAAGAAAAGCGAGCGAGGGACGAGCCAGTGTTAGCGAAGGGGGTGCCTGCCCTGGCGCGTGAGCGGATCGAGAGTCGAGACTGAGTAATCGAGGCGTTTCCGTTGAGCCAGCTCGAGAATGGCTGTTGCCTGCCTGATGGACCGTGCACTGTGCGCCGGTTCGGTTCGGTTATCGCTGGGTTGGTGCTGTGAATGCTCCTGTCAGAGGATGGAAATCCTTCCCGTCGTAGATGATCGGAATGGTGCAGATGCTGCTGGGTATGGTAGTGTACAGGAACCGGGAATCATGCAAGCACGAATTAAGCATCATCATTCCAGCGCGCAGGAAATCAGCCCGGCCGACTTATCACATCTTCGATTGCGGGACCTTCTCTTGCCTTAATCTCGTTTTCTGTCCACTACCATGCCACACGAGCGTTCGAACTGCTCCATTCCGGTCACTCGCGTCCTCGGAAGTCCACTCGGGCAGTGGTTGTTTCCACAGCAGCCTGCAAGGCTTTTCGTAGACTCGTCAATTGCGCCCGCTGGTGCTGCTGTATATTCTGTCATACAGCACATATGTTTTCTGACATTAATCTGATTCCAAAGATTTGCGATTTTTTTCTCATCTCGTTATTTTCGTCTGTGCGTATTCATTTCAGGGCTCGATTTCAGCATCACAGCGAATTCATCTCACCAGCGTAGTTTCATTTGTCCTGTCTCACCAGGATCGGGAGCATGCGTTTCATCCTCCGACATCAATATTTTGAGATAGACGCACCAGCGGAGTGCTTGCTTGTGGCCACCTGTGATGCTGAGCTGGCGACAATATGCTGTGTGCACGGAAAATGCCCTGCCCATCCCACCAGAGGTGCACGGATTGCAGTTGTGCACGATGAGGCTCTATGAGGAATGCGCCATGGACCTGACTCCAACACCTAGTCAGGGAGGAGGGGCACGGATCACGAAGATTTTTGGCAGACGGATTTGAGACGAGATTCTTGCACAGCAGATTCTCTAAACTTTACAATCTGAGAGGAGACGAAGAACTTTGAGTGTAGGCTTAAGCTTCATTTGCTGACTGTCTCTCTGAATTAGCTGGAGGGCAAATCTGTAAACGAGGTATTCGAATTTTAGAACTGGTGTTCCCTGCGAGCGTGTTGTGCTTGTGGGTGAGCAGAGTGTGAGTTTTCATTTTGAGCGTGCAGGATTATCCTCACACCTTCTCCAAATCAGCAGTGGCTGTTTTTACATCTTTGCATCTGCCTGTCTACACACGTATGGCCTGAGGATGCGTACAAAATTTCCTCGTACCTTTTCCGGAAATTTTTATGCCCCTCCTTATCAGGTTCGGGCTTTATGTTTATGCCGCATCGTATAATACTGTATATTGTCTCACCCAAATCAATCGTGACCATTGCGCTGAATCAGTCGTTCTGGAATTCCTTTACAGTGGAAGAATCAGATGGAATTGCTGTAATGTGGAACAATGTATTTCGGATTCAAAATCATTCAATCGACCCGACGATTTGTGCTGTTCGTGGATTATGGAGAACTCCTGGAAACTCCGTCGGCGGATGATGTATGGAAGATACGCAATTTTTTATCACCCTTGTGAACTGTCGTGTATGGATGAGAAGTGTAGCTGCTCGAAAGTGCTGAGAGTCCGAATGTGCTCAGCGTTTCTTTTGCCTATGCACCATTCTATGGAATCGGTAGATTGGTTTCTGAGCTGGCGATCGACCTCAAGTTACGTAGGCTGGCCTGTTCAATACATTTCCGTTCCGCCCTCGGGGAAAATGCAGCTGGTGATCTGAACGGGGAGCATGGTGAAGATGCTCCTACAGGGCAGTTTCACAGATACATATCCCACTCTTGGGCTTTCCATGTATACCGCTGTAATCAAAATCCTTAGTGTCGTGAAGTGGCAGGATTATTTGACCGGATTACTATCAGCTCAGTTGTTGACTAGACAGCGTTGCACGTGTCACAATGCAGCTGCAGCTGCGAAGAAACCACTGCGCTCTATGAACCTTCAAGTGGTACAGATTCATGGAATTTATATCACACTGGCACTATCCATTCACTGCACAAAGATAGCTTACAGGGAATATCGCTGTAATCCGACGTGAGATGACACAAACTTTGTACATGTTAGGGGTCTTCGCAGTGACATACAGTGACATACGTGAGGCTGTACAGAACGTATGTGATTATATACGAGGCTTGTGCTTATACCCAATGGCTTCACTCTCAAAGCATACTACCAAACATTGGAAATATTGTCTTGAACTGTTGTTGCCGAGGAGATTTATTGGAGATGTAGCGGATTAGGTTAGCTACAGGTCAGCCCTTGCTTGAACCACCAAGAGTCTTGACCAGAAGCAGCTCTTGAATACAGGGAGAGATTGTGGCCGGGAGAAGAATATGTGCACTTCTAAACCCGAACTACTTCACCATCTCGTTACTGTGAGCAGCATCTACTGGTACTGATTTGTCCTGGTTGACGACTGTATCGTTTGAACGCACGCATCTTTGAAAAACTCTATGAGCAACTTCTCTCTGGGGGATCATACTTTGTTCGATGGTTTCGTGGTCAAGTGGTAGACAGCGGAACAGGAGATTGAAAAACGCTGGATTTCTCAGCTTTCAATGTTAGGATCCGCTCGACAGCTTTTGCAGCAAAAGGTTGAATGTGGGGTTTTTTTTCCGTTTGGATTGCAGTGTCAAAAGATTGTGCCGGGCCAGATCACGGATAGTTGACAAAGTCTGCACTCGAGAATGATTAGGGGTCTCGTCCTCTCACAAAGCATGCGGACAAACACCAGCAGGGACTGTTGTGGAGAGTCTGAATGAGTCATCCCTGCACATATCTTCATTTCGTGCTGTAAATGAAAGAATGCTGAGTCCTTTTCTCGGCTTGGAGACTGCGCGGTGCGGCCTTTCCAGCAGTCGACCGCTTTCCCAGTAATATGCACCGTAACTATGAAATGAATCGTGGTGAAGATTTCTACTCGTTCCAGGTTTGACTTTCACGAATCAGGGGACCTAATCAGAACTTTCCATAAACCTAGCAAAAGCACACATGTCAAGGGCAAAGTGGGATCTTAAAAGATCTTGTGATACAGCACGTTCTATTCATGGTCAAGCAAATTGGTTTGACTGGGACGAAGACTCGATTGCGTGAACGAACAGGAGTTTATGAGGTTATGCCGAGACTGTACTCGTGCTGCATTGTATGAGGCAGCAGGCCTTCGTCAAGCGGATAGCGGGGTGGATGGATAGAGGTAGAGAGGCCAGGCCTGTAGCAAGCCTGGATTCAGAGAGGAATGAGGGAGGGCCCGACGTGGAACCTTAAAAATGGTCTGAAATTGTTTCTGATATTGATGGTCAGTGTCAAGCCTGCGTGTACGTGTATAAGACCAACAGTAATCTCATGGCATTGATTCGCTCCCAGGAGACAGTGGCAGCCACCTTCGCTGTCAATGTTGTTCCCCATCATCAACGAACCATCCTGGATGCCGTCGGATGCTGTACCTTTCAAAAAGACACGAGAGGCTGGACAGCGATTTTCAAGAGTTCATGTATGTTTCCAGTAGGTTAGTCACAGCAAGGTAAAGAAGCATGTGCAGCTTCTGCTGTCACAGCCTGTCAAAAACTGCGCAGGCAATACCTACATGGACGGTACAAGCTCGCTCGAGCAAGAAGTGGTAACCAGTTGGCTGTGAGAGAGAGAGAGAGAGGTCACAGCAAGAAGAACGGACATGGTGAATGGAAACTCTGAAGAGTGGACATCCGGAAATCACATGACGGCTCAGCAGTACCTAGCCTATCCTCCAACTGCGCTTATTGGAACGGTGGAAAGTACACTATGGCTGAACGGGAGGTGGTTGTTGGCTGCAGGAACGAGAGAGAGGGAGTGACAGACACCCACTGTGACAGCAAGAGATGGATCACCATCTGCAGCTGGTGTCATCGGAAGTCCCTCCGTCCCTCCATCAACTGAGCGGCCCTATAAAGCTGGTGACCGCAATTGGAAGGAAAGTACAGGAAGAGGAAGGGAGTGTCCGTGACAAGCCTCATTCATGCAAACGCTTGCCGATGACAAGTTTTGTATTTGAGATTTCCACCGAGCTGCTAGCTGTCACTCTTTCGTGCATGGATACTTAATAATTGATCGTATTTTGTGACTACACAGTGTCCACTTCACCATTCAAGCCGAAATTAGAAAAATGAACCAAAAGGACAGCAAACAACGAGGACTGCGAAATTATCGCTTGTTATTTCACGCCTTTCGAAGATGACGATGCGAGGTTGTAGCATTGCTCTAGACAAAACGGCAGGCTACCTAGCCAGTCAGTCTATATCTAGATTGCAAGTACCTGTGGGTTCAGTCCAGTTAGCCTGCAACTCATTTGGGCAGTCTATGTGTGCTGTAACTATTTGAATTTTACTGGCTCACATAATCTTCAACCGGATCACGATACTAAATTACCGAAAGCACGAAGCTCAAGGCTGCTGGAAGCTGATTCGCACTACTTTTAAATATCGGCAGCCGGTACTCGAGATGGGTCATCCCTTTCATAGAAGGATGGATTCCAGTCTAAACGTTTCGAAAGAAACTCTGCTTGCCTGTACGTCTCCGTAGAACAGTACAGCTTGGAGCACATCTACTCCCTGACTGTGGCAGCATGCGAGAGTACTGGCTGTACTTTCTAGCGCCATACTGTTCGACTCCTGATCCGAGATACATCCAAGATGCCTCGTCCACCACATTCTCTCTCATTATTTTGAAATTCGATGCATTTGCAGTGCTGGCATGCAGCACTACCTTAAAACGTCTGAAGCAAATCAGCCACTGTCATGGTACAACATAATTCTCAATATATTAAATGTCCGGTAAAAAAGTATGATCGTGTTGTTCCAATCTGAAGGTCATGATGACTCTCAGATTGTCGGGTTTTTGGACTATTCATTTCGATTCTGGACGATACGACGAAGGAGGAAGTGCTTCAAGGAACTTCAAGGAACTTCGAGTCTGAAGGTGGCTTCGCGTCTTTGCATATGTGCTGACTACACAGTATATCTTAAGACTTGCTCAAACCTGTTGGCAGTCTCACGAGAAAAACATTGGCTAATCTGAAGCCAATAAGATCCGATTCTAACAGTGAGCTTATTTACCTGGAGTCCAGCATGTGAGTTCTGGCAGTGGGTGAAACGATGGGTGTGCACATGTTTGGAGCATCAATCGTGTTCAGTATGATTAACAGTTTATTGAATTGATTTCAGTAGAGCAGTCGACTGGTCCAAGTGTGTCAGATCTTAGCTTAGAACAATTCATTGAAGCTACAGTCGCGTGCATCCGAAGGTGCAATAGGAGAAATGTTCATGTGTTAGACAAATTTCGAATGCAGAGTCGCATATGACATCTTTAATGCACACAGCAGAATTGTTATAACCTCCATCATCAGCCTTTA